GTTGCAACTATTCCCAACTCTATTCGTTGGATTTTATGAACTGAACAAGAGTTTCCACCGAGTCCACCTTGGTTCCTCTGCTATTGTTCTCAAAGATTCTGTTGGCTGAATTTAGAAACAACTACAATACTGCGAAATATATATATATATATAAAGCTTACAATTTTAATTTTTTTTCGTGCTATTATACAAAGGATATTTTTATAAATCTTACAATCATTTATATCCATTTCCAAAAATAATAATCGTCCTTACTTCTCGCGTCTTCGAATGATTTAAAAAAAATCATTTTATACTTCCACAATCATATCCCTGTTTATGCATTTATCTTTCAATCCCCAACAGAATCAACAATTCTCAACCATTATTATACATTATTCGCAATACCATCCCCTTCAAACAAAAAAAAAGGAAAAAAAAAAAAAGAAAAATCTCGAGACCAAATAAAATAAAAAACTGGCCAAAAAAAAGGATAATCGAAGGAAGAAACGAGACGTTTAAAAACGACAAAATCGTTTAAACAAGCAATCCCCTAACGACCCGAGGCGGCATAAAAGATTTCGGGGAAAGAGGCCGCGAGACATTACCAGCGGAGGAAGTTGAGCGTCGGAGGCTGGAAAATAAATAACCCCGCGAATTACAGTATCCGCTAACGGGCAACTTAATTAAACCGAGCGCGGGTCCGAGGAAAACTCCGAAAGTAGGCGATAAGCTGTCCCCTTGCAAATAAAGCGAGCATACTGGAACAACACTGCAGAAACCCTCCTCCCCCCCCTCCCCTTCTCTCCAACTGCATATTACACAGTGCGGCCATTTATATATGGTGTGTTCTTTAAATAATTAAACGAATGCAAATATCGAGAAGCTCTGGCGTTGCTCTGCGCGTGTGTATGCTGCTGCTCCCTGTGGAAATAGTATCATATTATCTGACCCCCGAATTTTTGAAACTAATCTTTAACTCCTTATTTGCTTACTGGAATTCTGAGGTGAAAAATAAAAATCCAGCGTTATTATTGTAAGATTTTTTTTACTCGATGCTTAACGAGACGTTTGGTATTATATAATTAATTAAAAGTTGAAGTTGTGAATTTTTAACAGAATTTTCAATACATGAAAAATCGAGATAGATATTGATTTTTGAACAGCGGCGAAAAATGAAACAAAATCCAAAATGGCTGTTGACGATACTCGTATTGAACGCGAAAGAAAAGCCGGATAAAAATGGAAAACCGTCCGTATCATCCCACTTAAAAGCAATATCATGTAAAATAATGTATTTGAATAATGTATTGAAGATTAAAATCATCATAAGTCAAAAGATAAACTGATTTGAATTATTACAAAAACTCGTTTGAATACGTTATTTCTGATCGATACTTTTTTAATTCGAGCTAAACCTTATTTGTAACGCGAATAATTATTAATCAAGTGCACAAATATTATGGAGTTAGCGGCGCGTAATTAATGGGTGAAAACACGCGAGACTCTCTTAGCGAGGGAAAAAGGGTTGGTTTTAATCCACGACATGTCGTCTATCGAGTACAAAGTGTAGAAGACCATGGATGCAACCAGACATCATTCGTAGATTAAAACGGTGTGATATCACGCCTCCAATGTAAAATTATGGGAGGAAGATACGCTCTTTGAACGACGCACGATGTTTTTCTTTCCTAGTTTCCTTTGAATTTTTTATTTTAGCTCTTCAGTTACTCTTTTTTTCGATTCGATGATGCACGACGAGGAATTTCGAGATCAGATTTCTTTGACATTTAACGTAGAGATGTAGATAATAAAGATAGTAATTTGTATATTGAATTCGTGTTTCGTTTAGATTGAGTTGATTTGAGATTCTTCTTCTTTTTTTTTTTTTTTTTTCATTCATAATATAGATACTTAAAAATAGCTTATTCATATTATATACTTCAATTGAGTAAAATAATATAATGTTTCTATTTATATCTGTTATCAAACATTCACATTTCATGAAATTTTAAACCGATTTATTAAACAGATTATATTTTAATTAATATTTCCAATTCCCATATACGTATCCCAAAAAGGTATGCCAGTTTGAATCAACCTGATATTTTTCACAATAATTTCAATTACCACTTATATATCTATATATATTCCAAAAATACTTGTATTACGTTCAAAGCTGAAAACGCATTAACGTTTCAACTTCAATCACAAAAAAATACTTGAAATATACATTATACCGTTGAATCGATCCATCATTAATATTCTCAATCGTTAAAAATATTCTAAAGGAAACACTGCGAACATTGCGAAACGAAGAATCGAAATTAAAGCATCGGTGTCTTCATTATTTAGAAAAAAAAAAAAAAACAGAAAAGAAATCCAATATTCAAAGAATTATTCGCAAAAAAGCGGGATGGTATACAACTGTTCCTTGTGCAAGCATCGAACGTAGATATAGCGCGAATCGGACAGGTAATTAATAATGCTAAGTAACGGATGGCGAGGCGTTTTAAAGGGAAACCGGTGTCGGATAAAAATGAAATGGATATAAGGAGAGTGAGTGACGCTTTATGTTCCTGAACCGCGGCTTGTCTTCGACGTCGACGCACAAGACATTCGAGGATTATTCAGAAGCGACACAGTGCAGCTCCCTGTCGCTTTTACGATGATAATATTTCAACGGTACGTCACTCGTGTTTCTATTCCTTCCGTCGTTTCGAGGATAAAGTAAGTAGTTGCGGGGGCGGAAAATCGCGAGTACGGTATGATTTCATGGAAAATCGAGGGGAAAAATCACTTTATATTCTCAACGAGAGCTTCTTTCGATATCGTAACTCCTATATATGATATTGACGAGTTGTTTGTGGTTTTGATATTTATTTTGTTCACTTTTCAATTTCATTAGTTTTTCATTCGGGCTTA